AAGAAGGGAAGCAGTTCTGCTGTTACGATTGCCTCCCCTGCCCTGGAGGGAAAATATCCAGCCAGCATGGTAAGAGTCTTCAGGATCAGGTGATTGTGTCACTCCATGATGCTTATGAAAAAGATCCAGGCATATAGAACAATGACAAAGGAAGATTTTTGTTCCAAGAATGGTAGTATTTAATGTCCATGTGGTCTCTGAGGAAACCCAAAGGATCCATACATCAGCCGGGATAAAACTATTATTTATTAGTGTCTAAATATAAAAAGTTTAGAAAAGGGTCAGATTTTATATAAGTGACACACAATGAAAATTTTATATAAGTGACACAAAATGAAACAAGGTACTTTAAAATATAAATTTGTTGTGATTCACTAGTTAAGATGTCAGGGATATATAGTATAGTTTTTTTCTGCTTATCAATCAACCCTTTCCTCACGAGGTATTAATACAAGGTGTCCTATTGTACTTCAGAGTTAACACTGTTGGCTGTAGCTAGAAAGGAAGGGACTCTGCACTCTCTGAAAGAGCAGAGATTTCCACTTTCTGATACATTGGATTTTAAACTGATTTCTCTTGAGCAGCTCTTCTCAAGCATTCCAAGAGGGCTAAGATGAAAGAGTTATGGGGTTATGTGGAAGACAAAATATAGACTATTATGATGAAAACAGAACAGACTGAGATAGAACCACTAAGCAAAACAGAAGTCACAAATATACTGCTTATAATAAGGATATACTCATATGTAAAATATTGCACCTAATTTTGTCAAAAAAAGAAAAAAAACCCACTGAATGATATGAAGGAATTATGTTCATGATAATTATTAATTAATCTGGAATAATTTATGAGATGGCAATCATAGCTGAACCAGTCTTTTCATCTTTAGACGTGGATGACTGTTCTGAATGCCCACAAGGTCAATACGCAAGCAAGAAGCATGATTCGTGCATTACGAAGAAATTGATTTTCTTGTCCTATGACAATCCTTTGGGTATGAGCTTAGCTATATTGGCCCTTTCCTTTTCTCTCTGCACTCTTTTGGTGCTAGGAACATTTCTGAAACATCACAACTCTCCCATTGTCAAAGCCAACAACCGGGATCTCACCTACATGCTCCTTGTCTCTCTGTTGCTTTGCTTCCTCTGCACACTGCAGTTCCTCATTCCTCCTGGGAATATCATTTGCCTCCTCCGGCAAATCACTTTTGCCATTGTCTTCTCTGTGGCTGTATCTTGCGTGTTGGCAAAAACCATCATTGTGCTTTTAGCATTCATGGCCACCAAACCGGGATCCCGAGTACGGAAGTGGGTGGGGAGACGACTGGCCATCTCCATTGTCCTTTCTTGTTCCCTTATTCAAGCAGGCATCTGTACAGTTTGGTTGGCAACAACTCCTCCCTTTCCAGATATGGACCTACACTCAGAAACTGCAGAAATCATCCTGCAATGCAATGAAGGCTCAGCTACTATGTTTTACTGTGTTCTGGGTTATATGGGCTTCCTGGCAGCTTCCAGTTTTACAGTGGCTTTTCTTTCTAGGAAAATCCCCAGT